CGCTTCCTAGACTGAGCGACTGGGCCCCAGCTCTCCTGCTGCACACCGGGAGCTCGGCTCAGCGAGTCCATCTGAGACAGACTCCTGGGGAGACTTGTCCTCTGTGCAGGGACTAACGCACCCAGCCAGTACTTACCGTGACACCCCCACAGAGGGGTTCATGACTCGCCTGGAACACAGCCCTGGAAGTCCTCAGGGCAGCAGAGAGAAATGGAGGTTAAAGCACATTCATGCCAGCCAGGCTGTAGTGAACTCCATGTCAGTCTGGGAGAACCGTTGGGGTGGGTAGTGACTCCATTGAAGCAGTATCCCTGTAGTGTTTCACATGCAGACACCCTTAGTCTGCCGAGGCTGGGTCTACATTAGGAATTTACTTTGGTGTAGCTACGTCTGTCAGGGATGCGAAAAGTCCACCCCCTGAGACTGCCCTAACCCCCGCTCTGAGCAGCGCTAGGTCGAGGGGAGCTGCCGCTTAGGAGGTGGGTTCCCTAAGCTGAGGGAGAAGCAGACGTTGAGCAGCACAGCTGCTCCAAAGTGTAGACAAGCCCTGAGAGCAAACGTTACCACCCCCCAGGGGCAGCAATGCAAAGTAGGGGGAAACTGAGGCAAGCACTATATTCATAAAAAATATTACAAAAAAATCCCACTTCCTCCCAAAGGGGCTGAGCCTGGAGTGGCGCGGTTGTGCAGGCAGCCGCTGGTGCTGAGGAAAAGTTCCCTTGGGGGCACAGACAAGACTGACTCCCATTGTAAGCAGGTTGGAGTGATTCTCCCCGGACACCTCAGGTGACCCCGATCATGTCACAGGCACATACACGAGTTCAGCAAAATGCACACGAGCCTCGGGCCTGAGCTCTCCCTCCCCTCAAACGTTAACTCGCTAATGCTGGGCCCAGTGACTGGTGCCCCCTTTCCCCCCCCCACACGCTGGGTTCTCGGGATCACCACGGCCAGGTTCAGATTCTGCACAACAGTCCCCTGCCCAGCCACCCGCGTGGCACTTTCCGAGCAGCTGGAGGCCCTCAGCACAGCAATGCACAGCTCATGTTTTCAAATTCGCTTTACAACCAGGAGGGCGAGGGAGTCACTTAACCCACCCCAAAGCCGAGAGTCGGTTGTAATCACCTGAGCCAGGAGCTGGGCCCTGGTCCCCGCCGCATCAGCCTCTGCAGTATCCCCAACTCCCAGTGTCCAAAGCTACCGGGTCAGTCCCTCCCTCCCTCCCACCCCAGCAGTCAGTGTCGGGCCCTAGGTATTTGCCATCTGCTGTCTGTGCCTTCAGGTTTGCACTTTTCCACAGAAACACAAGGCTTAGAAGTGCCAGGGCCCTGGGACTATAACACAACAGACACTGCCAAACTTATGAGAAATGTGAAGGACCTGGTGTGATGAAGTGGGACTGTTCTTAATGTTTCCCCAATACTGTGTGACTGCCTCAGTTTCCCCTATGCATTCCCCTGTGCATTTCTTAAGTCTCGAGGTGGTGGGATAAAGGCCAGTGTGCATAAATCACCGACCCTCTGTCTCCCAGTAACAAATGGCCAGGGCCCTTCCCCCCTTGCAAGGGAATAGCTAAAGGTGAACAAAGAGATCAGGTGACCTCCTGGCCTGGGAAAGAGACAAAGCCCAGAGGAGGAGGGGCTGGAGGGGGTTTCAGTTTGGGGCTGGCTGGGGACGTGGGAGTGAGGGCAGACGGGGGTGTCTGGCTTGCAGGACCCCAGAATGGACCTGGCTAAGGGATCCGGTTCTCAGGACCTACAAGCTCTGTTTTAGATCTTGTTCCTGTTATCTAATAAACCTCAGTTTTACTGGCTGACTGAGAGTCACGTCTGACTGCGAAGTGGGGGTGCAGGACCCTCTGGCTCCCCAGGACCCCGCCTGGGCGGACTCGCTGTGGGAAGCGCACAGAGGGGCATATGCGAATGCTCCAAGGAGAGACCCAGGAGGTGAAGCCATGTGAGCTTCTTGCCCTGAAGACGGTCTGCTCCGAGGGAGAGGAGGCTCCCCAAAGTCCTGACTGGCTTTGTGGGGAGCAGTTCCAGAGCATCGCCCGGGGACTCCGGGACACCTGGCAACACTGCAAAATGCAGCCCTGGGCTCAGCGCCTCGTGCCAGGCCACCAGGGCTGGAGTTGTGGAGAGTGCATCAGCCCCCAGCTGCACCCCACATCTCGCCCTACCCAGGAGGCGGGGCTCAGTCGGGAACCAGGGCCTGGGTTTGGGCAGCCCAGCAGGGAGCTAGGAGGAGGCCGGGGGGCCTGGGCTGAGTGCCCCGGGCTGTAGTTTGGGGCTCGGGGCCCAGGGGACGCAGCCCTGGAGGGGCGCCGTCATCCGGAGAAGTTACCCGGGGTCCCCTCGCTCACAGCAGGCCGGGGGGGTCAGCGCCGGGGGGGCCCCGCCGGGGGCTGCACTAAGGCCGTTGCCGCCCGGTTGTGGGGTCGCCACCCACGTGCGACCCCCGGTGGGAGCCGGGCGCCGGCTCCAGGGCTGGGGGGGGGGATGTGGCCTTTCGGGGCCGCCTGCAGGGCCCCCGGCTCCCGGCGCGTTCAGCCCCCGGCCCCCAGCTGCTCCGGGGCGGGCGGCGGCCAGGGGCGCCCGGCCCCGTTTCCAGCGGCTCCGATGACATCACGGGGGGGGGGTGGCAGCGCGGGGACGTCACAACCTGCGTCACTGCTCCCCGCGCCGCTGCCGGGGTTCGGGGGGGGCGTTCAGGCCAAGGTCACCGGGCAGTGCGGGGGGGGGGCGCGTGGGGTCCCGCGGGGCCGCCCCCGGAGATCGCTGCGGG